TAAATAAAAGTTAAGTAAGAAGAATTGTTGTCAAGGCCAGATTGAGCACAGCAACAAGACATAGCACGTATATGACTAGCCCTAAAATGATTCTGCAGCAGGATAATGCCCCCAAACATACAGTCAAAGTCATTAAGAAGTGTCTTCAGTGTAAAAATGAACATGAAGCACTGGAAGTGAATAGAGGACACGATGCAAGAAAGCCACATCCACCAAAGATCTGTGCTAAGTTCTCCAAGATGTTTAGATAAACCTAAAAGACTGTAGGGTCCCACAAAATATTGTTTTTTTATGTTCAATTTTAAAAGATAAAGCCACATTTTACAATAGCTAATTGTAGCGACGTGTTTAAAAATAATTCTCATTTCTAGGCCTTCTCTGGGTCTGTATTTAGCTATGCAGCACACTGTGGTAAATAAAGAGATGTGCTTTAATTGTGCTGCTGTCCTTTGAGTCTGAGATCCAATGAAACGCTCTCTAATCTCATATTCACAGAGTTATTGGCCCTTCCAGATGAAGCCCAAGAGAAAAACAGAGACACTGATGAACTGTCGTTTGAAGGTCTGAACACACACGGCGGATGTTAAGAGCAAGAACAATGGCTTTCCATGCGTTCCATTATCAGCAGAGGTGAGGTGTGGAAAGCAGTCCCATCGGGAAATGGAGAACAAATGTTATTGAGTGTTAATTTGGCAGCAAAGGAATACGGGATGGGTTCTAGTGTTGAATGCAAATCTGCACATTAATATGCAAACAATGGGAGTGTTGCACGGATACTACGGGGTACACACAAATAAAGCAAACAAAAAAATCAAGAATGGAGACAACTCGGATTTAAAGAAGATGTTCAATCTGAATAGGACCCATCTTAAACAGTCTCTCAGCATTTGACACATGTTCAACGTACGTTTAGTGAACTCCTTTGCAGGATACCTGGAACAAGGTTCACCACTGACAGTTTGACAGCATAATGTGCATTTGTCTTCCCCTTCGATTCTGAATTCACTTTCCACCCTCGTCGCTCTGAAGATAAAATGCCCGATGTTAAAATTCATGAAGAGCATCTTTGAACCGTATGCAAGCTTTCAGTGGGAAATCATGAAAGGGGAGCTCATATAAATAACTGAAAATCACTTTCTCATCGTGTCATTCCAGAGTTTTTTTCTTCAGTGATGCACATTGTTAATGAAATAAAGCACTTGCAGGATTTTACCAAATGCAACTTTTCTTATAATACAGTCAATTTCCTAGTTGTTGACTTTAAAGATGGACGTCATGCATCACAACTCATTTCTTATTCATCACAGGACTCTCTTAGATAAATATTTTACCTTTTACCAGCCCATCACCTCCAGTGCTGCTTACGGCTTCCGGCTGCCCACCGCATGCTTCGGTTAAATCATAAAACCCTCCCTAACAATTCTCACATTTACTGGAATGTTCATAATGGAGAGAAGTTGACTCAAGAAGCAACACATGAAACTATTGTATAGTTAGTTTGGCTGCACTTTTACAATTTTATCTGACAGAAAAAGCTCACTTTCAAACTCCTCTCGTGCAGGAAATTCAGCACTCACCTACTTATCGTCCCAAAGTCTCCAGAGGATTACCGGGGCATAATCCAGATCTTCAATCGCTATTGCAGTAAACTCTTGTGTCTCACACATGTGATCCTCTCCTCAATCACTCTATGTAATGTGCTCCCCCTTCTCCCTCTCCAACTTGCCCTCGCTCTCTCTATCACACTGTCTCTCGCTCGCTTTCTCATCTGAGGATTGTGCAGAGCTCTGTGAAAACAGAATGTGGGGGAGAGCAAAGCGCTTGCTGAATTCAGTATTCACCCCTGCAGTGTCAAGGGGACAGAAAGAGAGAAAGAGAGAGAGTCTGGCTGCTGCACTGATCATGTGCGCTCTGGACTGATGCTCTTGGTACAGGATGCCTGTGGGTGTCAAAGACTGCTAGTCTGCTGTTACATCCCTCCCAGAGATTGGCTCTCCTCCCCCTTTAAATTGCTGGATTAATGTGGGTCCCCACAGTGCTAAACACATACGGCACGGTCAGCTTTGCTGGGTTGCCCTTAGGGAATCAGGAGCTTTTCAAGGACTGAGCTCAGATTTCTTTTTAGTTTTTGTCACATTCACTTGTTTCAATGTAAACATTAAATTGAAGGATTTATTTTTTTTTAAATAATTATTTATATTAATATAAAAAAATATATATTATTCATAGAAAAAAATGTATGTATATAGTACAATATAAACAATTGGATATTAAAAAAACAATATATTATTATATTCTAATATTTAATTCTGTATTATAATATTTTATATAATAATTATATATATATATATAT